TCCAGGTCTCTTCCAGGCCTGTTCCATGTCTCTTCCAGGCCTGTTCCAGGTCTCTTCCATGTCTGTTCCAGGCCTGTTCCAGGTCTCTTCCAGGCCTGTTCCATGTCTCTTCCAGGCCTGTTCCAGGTCTCTTCCAGGTCTCTTCCAGGTCTGTTCCAGGTCTCTTCCATGTCTGTTCCAGGCCTGTTCCAGGTCTCTTCCAGGCCTGTTCCATGTCTCTTCCAGGCCTGTTCCAGGTCTCTTCCAGGTCTCTTCCAGGTCTGTTCCAGGTCTCTTCCATGTCTGTTCCAGGCCTGTTCCAGGTCTCTTCCAGGCCTGTTCCAGGTCGGTTCCAGGTCTCTTCCAGGCCTGTTCCAGGTCTGTTCCAGGTCTCTTCCAGGTCTCTTCCAGGCCTGTTCCAGGTCGGTTCCAGGTCTCTTCCAGGCCTGTTCCAGGTCTGTTCCAGGCCGGTTCCAGGTCTCTTCCAGGCCTGTTCCAGGCCTGTTCCATGTCTCTTCCAGGCCGGTTCCAGGTCTCTTCCAGGTCTGTTCCAGGCCTGTTCCAGGTCAGTTCCAGGTCTGTTCCCATCTTCACCACTATCCAGCCTGATGGATCTGAACCATCAGCAGGGCTCAGATGAAAGGAGGGACTGCCAGCTTTTATTTTGTAAATCAGCTTCCGGTAGTTGGGTTCTAGTTCCGGTTCCAGCCTGCTCCTGCTAGCTTGGATCCTCGGAGCTCTCTCTGGTTCTGTCCGGTTCTGGAGATGGGGGAGGCCGAAGTGACCCTCAGTCAGGCCGAGGAGAAGCCCCCGGACTCGGCTCTGGTTCCCGGCGAGGACTCGGTGGTCTGGAGCCATGAAGTGGAGGTGTGTCTTTTCCACGCGATGATCGGACACAAACCAGTGGGTAAGGCTGCTAATGCTAGTTAGCGCCGATGCTAACGGCTACTATTGAGATTAGCCAGAACCTTCAGCTGGTCCGAAACCAGTTAAACCATCAGGTCCGGATTTAAAGAACCTGATCCATCAGACCAGGTTTCTGAATCCAGTCTGCGAACAATTTCAGCTTTTAGATAAAAAATAAAAACATTTAATCCAAAAGAAAACAGTGATGCTTTCATCCATTTTCACATCTTAATATTTAAACAACAAAATCAGGCGTTAAATCCATAAATGTTTCTCTCCTATTTCATCAGATGAATTAAATGAATCATCCAATAGTCTTTATTGGAGGCATCTAGTCATTCAGTCTCTGCCTCCTGCCTGCTCTGTTTTACTCTAATAGTAGATTTTTCTTCCCATAAACTGATCTTTCCATCAGTCTTCCTTTTTTCCTTCACTCTCTTCTTCTCTTCTTCCTCTTCTGTCGTTCTACCTCTGATCTAAAACAGGAACATAAAACAATCAGAATCCCTCCAGACGCATAGAATCGCATCATAAATGATGATGGTGGTTATTATTAGAATTGTTGTTATGTCACCTGATTAAATATTAAAAAGGTTCATCTTCACCATATTTGGAGCTAAAAGTAAAAACGATCTAATAAATGCAGATTAAACAGGCGGTTCTCTTCCTCCATCATTCTCAGATCATGCAGATCTTGTCTCATTCAGTTTTCCTTTTGCTGCTTCTTATTTTCTAGAATGAGGAACTTTTATAGATTCAAACTGAGTGGTAGAAAAGTAGATCTAAGCGTAGAAGTCTATGCTCAGAAATCACAGAATTCCCATAAAAACAGCAAAACAAGCTAGAACTACTGAACGATCTGCAGATAGAAACTAAAGGTCACCGATCAGTTCCAGGAACCTTTTTGTTGAACCCTTGTTGATCCTGGAGAACCAGATTAGCTGTTGGAAAGGGAACCAGCAGAGTGGACTTGAAGCTGACCGGTTCTAGCTGGTTCTGAAGTGGTTCTGATGGAGCCGCTCTCTGTCTGCAGGCGTGAACCGCCACTTCCACATGATCTGCATCCGGGACAAGTTCAGCCAGAACATCGGCAGGCAGGTGTCCTCCTCCGTCATCTGGGACCACCTGGGGACCATGTACGACATGCAGGCCCTGGTAGGACACCCCCCCATAAACACCCCCCCACCACCACCATGCTCTGGTTCTGACCCGGTTCTCTGACCCGCAGCACGAGTCTGAGATCCTGCCGTTTCCAAACACGGAGAAGAGCTTCTCTCTGCCGGAGGAGATCATCCAGGAGGTGAAAGGAGGTGAGAAGCTCCCGGTGCAGACAGCCTTCCTGCTCCATCATTCTGCTGTTCTCAGGTTCCTCATGTGTTTGCAGGGAAGCTGGGCTCAGAGGAGGAGACCAAGGAGGAGGTCAGGATGGACAGAGAACCTCCTGCTACGCATGAAGAAGGTAACCTTCTCCCACTCACCCTTCAGACTCAGGCTGCTCCATCTCAGATACAGACCTCCAGAGCTCTGGGCCTGCCTGGACTGAGGAAGACTGGAGTACCCTGAGAGAACCCAGGTCCCTGCAGAGAGACTGAGGCAACATAAATCCCTTTATTATGGGGGTCAGGGCGCAGAGTCTATGGGGGTCAGGGCGGACGGTCTATGGGGGTCAGGGCGGACGGTCTACGGGGGTCAGGGCGGACGGTCTATGGGGGTCTGGGCGGACGGTCTAT